GGGTGGCATGTTTTCATATATTTATATACATTTATTATATTCGAAAATCATATTATTATAATATAATATATATAACATTATATTTTCTTTTTTTAAATTTTATTTGACAGGTAGAGTTACAGACAGTGAAAGAGAGAAAGGTCTTCCTTCCGTTGGTTCACTCCCCAAATGGCTGCCGCAGCTGGTGTTGTGCTGATCCGAAGCCAGGAGCCATGTACTTCTTCCTGGTCTCCCATGCGGGTACAGGCGCCCAAGCACTTGGGCCATTCTCCACTGCCTTCCCAGGCCATAGCAGAGAGCTAGACTGGAAGAGGAGCAACCGGGACTAGAACCCAGTGCCCATATGGGATGCCAGTGCCACAGGCAGAGGAGTAACCAAGTGAGCCACGGCGCTGACACCAGCATTATATTTTCATATATTCCATATATGTAACATATTTTATATGTGGCTCTCTCCTGAATTATATACAGTCTGAGAGAGCTAGCTCTTAAGTAGCCTGGAAAGCTTTCTAGATGATATCAGATGTTGTGGATAGATATTTACTACCTAATTAAAAATTTCGCAGGTCTGATACTACTGAAATACCCATGGTAGAGACAGAGCTTACATAACTCTACGGTAACTCCCAACAGAAGTGGCACAGTGGTGTTCTCCAAAGACTATTGGGGAAAAGTTGTGCTGTTTTGGGAATTAATTATTTTTTGTCTTTTTGAGAATTCTGTATCTTTTGTTCCTGGATGATGGTACAAACTAAAATATTTAGCCTTTGGTTATTATATGTTTCTCCAAACATACTAATGGCATCATTTCTAATTTGTTGAGGAAAAAAAAATAACAAAGTCTGATTGATAGATGTTCGGCCTGAACAATTAATTTACACTGGCCAAATATGTGCAATGGAATCATCAGAATCCCACTTTTGCATATTTTTATGTGGTAGTAAAGGAAATACAACCTATTTCCAATTTTACTTCAAATGAGACAAAGTCTGATACAAGGTATCTAGCAATCATTCTTTGATAGGCTAATTAGACATTTACAAGAAATAAAGGTTTATTAAAAAGTTTGGGGGTCATTATTAATGCAGTTTCAAATTTGTGACCAGGTAATGGTCTCATGTGGGTAGTCATCAAAAATTCTCAAGAAAAAGTGGCAAGATTCTTCACTGGACCTGTCCTCTATAAAACTGACCTGCTACTCTCACTGCTTATTCTTCAGTACCACAATAGCGCCAAGAAGCCATCAGTCAGCCTATTAGGTGATCATACTGGAATCCTATCAGAAGACAGGAGAAGGTTATTTGCATCAATGTTGAAAACTGTTCTGGATTTTACCACTACTTACTCCCATGTACTATTTTCATCCTTTAACTTGCTGAATATCATACACATAGCTCTGGGAATACACCAACAACATGTCTAAATAAGGAACTCAGTTTCCAAAAATGAAAGAAAAAAGTGGAATCAGTATTACATATGTCATGATTCTGATGCAGCTAGACCTCATTGGAACCTTTTAATTTTTTCTGAGAAAAGAATCCAGAAAGCTTAGTGTGAACTACAGGAACTTGCATTATCTGGCTTCCACATTTTTCAAAGCCTAACCTCCAATTCCCAATTATCCAGCTATATAGTCTTTTTTATTATTTTCCATTTTTGAAATATGTCATCTAGTCTCAGGGCCCTTGTGCAATATCCCTGACCTGAACTCCACCTCTCTTCCATTGCTCCTATGATTCACCTTCAGTCATTGGATATCAGATTGAATGACACTACCACAAAGGAACCTCCCCTTACTTCACAAACTAAACAGAGCTCTTTTTCAATGCTGTCACTGCTTTCTGTACTTTTTCAAAATTCTCATCACAATGTAATATGTTATATAATAAGTGCTTTTTGTATCTACCCATTTGGAATAAACAAAACCTACAGTGGATGGATCATACTTAATTCATCAATTTCATATTTATCTTATTATGCACGAGTTTATGTACAAAAGGTAACCTAAAATACTTACTTAATGAGTTAATTATTTTATGGTAATTTCTCAAAAGAAAAATTTTATAATTAATGAGTCATAGAAAAATCATTCTTCCAATTACCATCCCATCTCCATATTACTTTCAATAGATCAAGATGGTGAATCTAAAGTGAAATCTTTTATTCCAACATTATATTTTTTATGTAACAGTCCCACCACTATGTCCCATGTCATTTCTTCTGACACTAATCAATACCCTAGCAGTGGTCTCACCCATGTAAGTATTCCAAGTATTTAAATAATATTGTGTATTCAGCATTGAGATGGTATCATCTGATTATTTGGTTATTTCTTGAGTTCATTATAGCTACAAAGATCACTTGTAACAAGCAAACTATCTGATAAGGAGAAAAACTTGTTCCTGGATATTGAAAAAAGCAGCTGCACATTCAAATCTATTGCTCAGATTATGATGATACACTTGTCAAAACACAGTACAATTATGTTATGAATAAGAGGTTGATTTTGTATTTTAATTTTAATGGAGGTTGATATTTGAATTCTGTAGACGTGTTGGAGTTTAATAACCATCAAATCCTTTTTCAGATTGAATGACCGAGTCAATTATTTTTCCAAAAGTAGTTATTAAGAGAGTTTTGAATATATAAGAATAGTAATGTAATAACTCATGAATATTCTGTTTCTAAAATTAATCACAAGTTAACTTTAGTTTATTTTTGTGGAATCATTATTATGTGATTTGGAGATGCTGATGAGTTACAACATAGTGGAATGTTAATAACTTTTGGAAGGAGTAAAACAATAACAGAATACTGATTAGCCATATATTGCTTAGCAAAACAATATTATTCATGTATGTTGGATGTGCACTTCCATTTTCTTAAATCAGTTTCTAGTTTATATATTTAATACTATGTGAGAAAATGGTGTAATAAACTTTGCATTTTATATTTTAGTGTAATAAAGTAATAGTTAAATGCTGCTTATTCTTTTTAATAAAGAAAATGCTTTATTATTTGATTCTAAGGTGTTTCCAAAATATCGTGGGTCATCCACAAACTTTTGAGAGGGTATAAAAATTAATTTGAAATAAATTTGCCAGCCCAAACTTCTCATTTGCACCACATCTGTTCAGCATTAAGATACCAATGCACATAGATGTCATCACCAGTTGTATAAAATAGGTTGAATGATGTCTATTCTCTTTGGTGAGTGAAATCTACTTTACTCAGTCCACTAACTCAAATGATAATCTTTTCTGAAAATACCACACTGGACACAGCTCCAAACAGTAAGATAACTAGGCACTCTTTGGCTTCAACACATGAAATTAAGCATCACAAATCCATTCCTTATGAACTTGACATCCATACATAAAGTATACTTAATCTTAATGTATATAAAGTACATTTCATCTTCAAAAAATACAGTAACAAGAAAAATGACACACAAATCCCTTCCCAGAAGAAGAAGATATAGGAGATAGGAGAAGATAAAAGATAGGAGAAACCATGCAAGATATTGGCACAGGCAAATACTTCTTGGAAAAAACCCAGAGGCACAGGCAGACAAAGCCAAAATTAACAATTGGGATTATATCAAATTGAGAAGTTTCTGTACTGTAAAGGAAACAGTTAGGAAAGTGAAGAGGTAACCAACAGAATGGGAAAAATATTTGCAAATTATACAACTTATAAAGGATTAATAACCAGAATCTACAAAGAGATCAAAAAACTCCACAACAAAACAAGCAACACACTTAAGAGATGGGCCAAGGACTTAAATGGATATTTTTCAAAAGAAGAAATCCAAATGGCTTCCTTGTAGTAGTACAATTTCTAAATGTTAATCAAGATTAATCACCCCAGCCAGCAAAATGACACATTTCTTAATATGTTGATTCAGAGGCATAAGGATCCCAAAGTAGTTAGGTGAATAGTTTCAATTCCCAGTCCAATGACATTGTTTTGTGTGCAGGTAGAAAGATTCCTCTCTCTGGATCAAAGACCTCAACAACAGCAGAGTATAAGTCCAAGCAAAAAAGAAGTGAACATTTTCAATTGTGTTATGAGAGGTAATAGTAAGTGGTATCACTCCTATTTCCATCCTTTGATTCCTGAACTATTGAATCCTAACTAGAAATAGCACCATATATTTGATGCAGATTCAGGGCTTTTGGAAGTTTTTTAACACCTTGTTCCAACTCTGCAACTTACTGCCACCTAACTGGTGAAGTAATGGAGCCTTCAAAAGGTCACTCCACCATTCTATCAAGCCAGGCACTTCAGAATATTGGAGAACATAGTAAGAACAGCAGATTCCATGAAAATGGGCCCATTGTCACAATTCTTTTGGTGTGATATTGAGTTTCTTAATGAGAAGCAATGGTCTGTGGAATACTATGATGATAGGTAAGGCATTATGAAAGACTAAAGTTTTGGTAAAGATGTTGTATGCAGGGAAGGCAAATTAAAATCCAAAGTAAATGTCTATTCCAGGTAGGAGAAATTGTTGCGCCTTCAGTGATGCCTGCTTGTTCCTGAAGTATGGTGTCATATAAGGAAGTCATTTGTTGTTCCCTTCTTCTGGTTTTAATATTGTTTGTCTCCTCAGAAAATCATGCTGAAAATTGATTCCCAATACAGTAGTGCTGAGAGGTACTGAAAGTTTTAAGAGTTTACTAGGGGGCCAGTGCTGTGGTGTAGTGGACTAAACCTCAGCACCAGGACCACATATGGGCGCCAGTTTGAGTCCCAGCTGCTATTTTTCTTATGCAGCTCTCTGGTATGGCCTGGGAAAGCAGTAGAAGATGGCCCAGGTACTTGGGCTCTTTGCATCTGCTTGGGAGACCCAGAAGACGCTTGTGGCTCCTGGCTTCAGATCAACCCAGCCCCGGACATTGCAGCCTTCAGAAAGTGAACCAGTGAGAGGAAGATCTTTCTCTCTGTCTGTAACTCTACCTCTCAATTAAATATTTTTAAAACAAAAGAGTTCATAGAACCAGTTCTATGAGACCCAGGTCATCAAGCAAGAGCATGAGTCTGTCTATGAGAGGAGAGCACTAGACATGGAGCCGCAGCAGCAGTCCTACTGCCCAGTAGAAGGGAAGACAGAGATGAAACAAGAAGGACCCACCAGCTTCCTCCCTCCTGAAGCTCCTCAGCTCAAGCCCGACAGACAGCAGTTCGAGAGTCACAAGAGGCCTTACGAAGAAAACCGGGGCCGCGGGTACTTTGAGCACCGAGAGGATCGGAGGGGCCGCTCCCCTCAGCCTCCCGCCGAAGAGGATGAAGATGACTTTGATGACACCCTTGTTGCCATCGATACATGTAACTGCGACCTCCACTTCAAGGTGGCCCAAGATAGGAGTAGTGGCTATCCGCTCACACTCGAGGGCTTTGCATACCTTTGGTCAGGAGCCCGTGCCAGCTACGGGGTCAGGAGGGGCCGTGTGTGCTTCGAGATGAAGATCAACCAGGAAATCTCTGTGAAGCCCCTTCCGTCTACAGAGCCCGATCCCCACGTTGTTCGAATCGGCGGGTCCCTGGACTCCTGCAGCTCCCAGCTAGGAGAAGAGCCTTTCTCCTATGGCTGTGGAGGCACTGGAAAGAAGCCCACCAATAGCCGATTTGAAGACTGCGGAGACAAGTTTGCAGAGAACGATGTGATTGGCTGTTTTACGGACTTTGAATGTGGAAACGATGTGGAACTTTCCTTCACCGAGAATGGGAAGTGGATGGGCATTGCCTTCCAAATCCAGAAGGGGGCCCTGGGGGGTCAGGCCCTCTGTCCTCATGTCCTGGTGAAGAATTGTGCCGTGGAGTTCAACTTCGGACAGAGGGCAGAGCCCTACGCTTCTGTCCTCCCAGGATTCACCTTCATCCAGCACCTTCCCCTCCGCGAGCGGATCCGCGGCACCGTTGGACCAAAGAGCAAGGCAGAATGTGAGATTCTGATGATGGTGGGCCTACCTGCTGCCGGCAAGACCACTTTGGACATCAAACATGCAGCCTCCAACCCTTCCAAGAAGTACAACATCCTGGGTACCAATGCCATCCTGGATAAGATGCGGGTGATGGGCCTGTGCCGACAGCGGAACTACGCTGGCCGCTGGGACGTCCTGATCCAGCAGGCCACCCAGTGCCTCAACCGCCTCATCCAGATCGCCGCCCGCAAGAAACGCAACTATATCCTAGACCAGGTGCTCGCTGGTGGCAGCATGTCCTCGGGAGGGGGGCGGGGCCTCTTGGGTTCCCCTCCAGCCTTCTCCTTTCTCAGTGCTTTTCGGCTGTGGTGCTGGCCAGGGTTCAGCCATACACGAGGATGCAGTCTGGACTCTGCACAGCTCCCAAGCCCAGTCTGCTGGGTTTGGAGCCACAACCAGGCCTGCTAGCTTTGGCTCAGCAACAGCTCCAAAGGACATCATTAGGGGAGAGCCCTTTAATAGAATGGAAGAGGTGTGGATTTATGAACCTGGCAGGCTGCGGCTGAAATCCTGGCTGTGCTGTTTCCTCACTATGTACCCATGGCAGCCGACTTTACCCTATGAGTTTCAGTGTCCTGGTCTGTAAAGTGGAGGTCATATGGCAAGCACATACCCAGCAGGGCCTGGCATGCAATAACTGGTGATTACGGTTACTTCCTCTACAGAGTAGGCGTTTCCCAGCTTCCTTCAACAAGTTTTTATGATTGACAGGTAAAAACCTAAGTCATGTATTTTTTCCTGACATTTCAGCCTACATCAAAGGATTTAAGAGCCTTTGAAATCGAACATGGAATACTTTATTTGTTTTATATTGTATGTGCACATGCACAGAGATAGGTCTTTTTTAAAGAAACGAGACAGTTTTGAGTTAGAAAGGTTGTCTATGGCTTTCAGCATTCTCAAAAGGATGAGTGACCCCCAAAATGGTTAAGGATTCCTGTCTCAGAATAATGACTTCCACATGCTTGTTGCCTGCGCAACGTCACACTTGACATTTGTCCTGAAGCCATACTCAAGGAGCAGAGAGTGATTCCTTATTTTCCATATTTGTGGATCCTTGAATAAGCCTTGGATTAAGAGTCTGTGAGTGGGCAAATATAGACTGCTGTTCACATCCTTGGTACAAGGATGTGACACCCCCCCAAAAAAATAAAAGAGTTAAAAAAATAAATAAATAAAAGAGTTGATTAGATTGTTAAAGAGAATCAGTATCTTTCTTTCAGAAATTGGTTGTTGCCTAATGGGACAACAACTGACTCCTCGTGTTTTGTGATACTACTTGCTCTTTTGCACACATCTGCTTACCTTTTGATTTTCTACCATCACCAGAAACCTAGCAGCATAATATTGATTCATTTTATGGTTGTTGTCTTACAGAAAGTAAAGGTGATCCAGAACTCTGTGAGCTTTTAAATTATGACAAAGGGGTAGAGCACTGACACAGCCCAGAAGTGGGAGAGTGAAGGTATATGGTTTGCCTTGTCATCTGAATGCAGCTACACCTGGTAGTCCTTACCAGCAAGTATTGAAGAAAAAAAAGTATATTTGCTAGATCAATTGCTGTGTTCCAGGTATCAGAGAATATGTTAACTTGCTCAAGAAATAAAACTACATGTATTACACCAGCTGTAATTGGAGTCACTGTCTGGTTAAGTTTATGACAACACAGTGTCATTCTGCAAGATCCATCTGTCTTTTGCATAGGTTAAAAACTGAGTTCAATGGAGTTGTTAACAGTTTAAAAAGAGATCCTCTGTCCATTTATTTTACTTGGGTCTCAAAAAGTCGGATGATGCGTATGCATATGGGGGGAGACAGTTCTACTCAGTACACCAATTGAAATGCTAATTTCGTCTAAAGATATTACCACAGACACTAATAATATTTAATCAGATACCTGGATCTAATTAAGTTGACACATTCACCATCACAGCTGTGAAGCTACAGAAAATATGGTATCAACAAGAAAAGAATATATATTTCTGCTTGAAATTCATAATACTAAGCAAATGAGTAATGATTTTAGAAAAATTAATGATAGCAATATTTGCTAATAGCAAGTTTTAGGTATGCAAAATGGGACAGAAAAGCCATAATCTAATACACTATGATAATATGATCTCAATGCAAAAACACTGGAGTTTTGCTTTTCTATCTATTTGCAAACCTTTTCTTATTTATGTCTAAATTACTTTATATATTCCACCCAAAATTAATAATTCTATTAGTTCTTTATAAAACAAGGATATAAAAAGAATAAAAGCAAAATGTAAAAAGAAAATTATTGTCTTTGAGAAACTTTCAATTTGTTGTGGTTAGAAGAGCAAGGAATTAGACAGTAGTAAGAATTTTAAAACAAGAATTTTTTTAAGAATTATCTTTATGTCAAGGAAATGATTACAGAAGACAGATCAAATTTAAGGATAGCAATTAGGTCTCTAATGCTGAAGTATAATGGGTATATGTGAGGAATGGCAGCAACTAAAGCCAAGAAATATTATAATATATTGATCATGAATATCCTAACAAACAATATTAGGAAATACATATCTAATATTCTATGAGAAAACATTGAAGGTGACAGTGAAGATGATGTAGAAAATCATTTAGTAGGATACAAGATTGCAAGAAATAAGTTCAGTCAAAGGATTGTATATTAACCCAAATGAGAAATTTCCAGAGTATTCTAAGATTGTGCTATTTAACATAATAGAAAAATATCCCAAATATATTTATAAAGAGGAACAGATATACATTAACATCTTATTTGGAAGGCATGGATATTTACATAAGAGAATAAATAAAGAAAATAGTTCAAAAAATCCAGATTCATATAATTAAATAACAGTCTATGTTAACCAACATGTATATTCAATTTTTTCATTATAACAAAATGCCTGAGGTAGGCTATTTTATAAAGATAGAACATTGATATTGGCTCATTGCTTTGGTGGAGCAAAATCTATGGGTCTCATCTGGTGATGATCTTGCTAGCAGTCTCAAAGCAATACTGAGCACCACATGGCAAGACAGATGTTGTACACAGGTGTATCTGTGTCTAGTCTCTCTACTTGTTATAAAACCACCAGGTTTCAATCATGAAAGTTCAACCTTAATTATTTCACCTAATACTATTTCCCAGAGGCCCACCTCTAAGCATCACAGACAGATGAATTTCCCACTCCCTTAATTTTCAGAGTGAGGATTAAATTTCAACAACTGAAGTCTTGGGGAATGTTCAAAGTATATACAAACCATATCACAATGTGGGAAAAAAAGAGAAAATAATAGGATATTTTGAACACTTTGGTTATTTTTGAGGCTGCATTAGCAGCATGATGGGGTTTTGAATGATAAATTTGAGGAATACAATAGCTTGAAAAGACTGATAATTTGGTGACTTTCAGCTAACTGATTTCATTAAAGTCTCTTTTTTTCTAATTGAATATTTTCCCTATCCTTGTTTTGAAGTGTCTGCCAGGTAGGAAAGCAGAAGACTTCATGCTACACATAGAAATTATATTTCCAACATTGTGAGAGAAATCCAGCATGCAGAGACGTATTCCTAAAACTCACAGGGGAACCATAGATGTATGAAATTTAAACAAGGAACACTCAGAAATTCAATTTTTATACTTTGCTGCCATCGTTTGAAAATCCAGCCAGGAAAGCACAGCTATGGGTTTTCTCCTTCAAATAAGTTATGCTTTAAATAGGACTAAAATGAAAGGGGGAGAAGGGGACCAGATAACTGCAACCAACCAGTTTTGAAAAAGATTAATGCAGCAAAATTGCTGTTAATATTAATTTAGGTAAAATTTAGAAAGCATTCTTGTGTTTCACCATCCATCATTGGCATGGATTATAGAAAAATAAGTAATTTCAAACGTTCATTATTTTATGTAAATTCTTCATCCTTTAGGAGAGTTGCTAGAAGAAAAAGCTTTTATTTTTCAAATATAAATACATTTTAGTGGGAGTAAAAGAGGGCTTTATAATCACATATTTAGCAAGTATTTCCCTTATTGAGAAAAATAAAGCAAATGGAGTATTCACTTTGTGTTCTACTAGAAGAACAAATATTTGCTTATCATCTTTATTTTATACATATTCTATTTTCACAAACACTATTGCCATTAATTAGCATAGGAACTCTTTAAGATAAAAAATATTGTTTCAAGGTTTTTTATGTTTGCTTTGTTTGTTTTATTTATTTATTTGCTTACTTTTTTACAGTGAGCAAAGCAAGGTTTATTTAAGTCAGAAACCTCCTGCCACAGAGATCGGGGTGGGATGGGAAGCTTGAAGATAGGAAAAACACTTCAAGTTTTAGCTGAGAGAGCTAGTATCCTTGGATGTTGTTTATACTAAATTCATCAGTCAGTTGATAAGTAGTAGCTAGAATGTGATCTTGAATGATTCTAAATTCTATGTCATGTCTAATACAAAGTACAAAAATGACTAAACAAGGTTATTAATTTAATAGATGATATTTAAAACATTTGCCGCCAAACCCACAGATCTATTATATCCTAATTTTAAGTTTTGATAACTTCAGAAGCATCAATATGATAAAAATAGAGAAACAGATTTTACATTGGATTATTTTCTATTTAGTTTCAAATTATAAATAATAACATTTTAGCTAATAAATTTTAAATAATAAAACATTACCTGTTGCAGTTTATTCTGAATAAAGACAACAGATACTCATGGAAACAAAACAAAGTATGTGATCAAAGATGGAAAAAGTTGCCACATACACTTCTTGAACTTCTTTATCACTTCATCATTGGACTACTTAGAGTCCTCTGCTAGAAGGTCTACAGAAATATAAAGATCAACATTCCCCAAGTCTGACTTACTGGTTTCTCCTTCGAACCATATCCCAAACTTGTTTTTCATATTTCAAAACATAGTATCTAGTCATTAAATCCAGATACCTTGTGCTTCTTCTGGTCTAACACACACAAGCCACAAGACTTGATTGTACTTCCAAGTAAAACATACATACATATATGCCTACAATCTATCCGTAGCCCTAATGTTTTAATTCAGGAACTCCTAACAGTTTGCAATGCTATTAAGTAGGCTACAAATAATTCTTCTATATGAATCTTGTATTTCCAAAGGATATGTTAGAAAATGCAAACAGAATAATATTGAGCATGTACACACAAACGTGCAATTTATACTCTGAACTTTAGATAAGACCTAGTAGGGCAGAGCTGACCAGTGCTTCACTGGAAAATTGTTGAAGGAGAAGGATGGATTTTTAGAATCACAATATGAGAGGCCAGAGCCACGCCATGACAGGCTTCTCACAAGACAAAAAAAACTGACTAGGCCCAGGATGTGCCTGGTGTGAGAAGATGAAACCTGACACCGGGCAGTCCTTGGTCCTGTCC